TAAAAAGGACATTACAATGCATTAAATTTTTTCACTCTTTCTTTTTCCCAAATTGTACAGAAACAGATGTAGCATGATGTGTATATATGGTTGGAATTTTTTGAGACACCAAAAACTAAACAACAGATGAAATAACATGTGAATTATTGTTTGTCAATCAATGATTAGAGCAGGACTTCCTGTTACCAAAGAGAACAAACTGATGCATCAAAACACCTTGTAGACAACAACAAAATATAATAGTGCTCCGATAATTTGAGGATTGGGATAGGGAGTTAAAGTATAAAGTAGATAACTAGATTTGAGACAGTGAAACAACTGCTGTCGGAATGAGGAAAACACCCACAACTCAATCTAAGTAGACAAGTTTGTGTTGAAAGGATATCCCAAACGGAGAAATTACTATGGTGAAATTACAGTTATTTTATAGATGGACTTCTAAATAAAGTTTAGTCTGATATAAGAATTGTGCAATGTTGTTCAGAAAATTATACTGTTCTTTGGAAAATTACACTGTTCTCCAGCGAACACATCTTTACTGTCTTTATCCCTACTGTTGATGCAAATTTCTTCTCATGTCACAAATATGTAATATTTCTGAACAATTTAAGTGTTCAAACTGGACAATGAGGATGGACTTTGGGTACTGATATACCCCGGGTATGTGTTTTTACTGTGATGTCCCATTTAATGTGAGTCACAATAATACTTTTAAACTTTCATGATTGCTTCAGAAGACATAGCAGGAGTTAAAAATAGCCTGTTGCATCCTGGGATTGATAGGTCATCAGGTGAAATTCTAGAACGATAGCCATACTTGTTTATGATAAGAATGGCTTCGTGTAACTTACAAGAAATAATATGGGACTATAAGAATTTTGTCAGCATGTAAGGGCCTTCGCTAATTTTTAACAACAGACATAGATGGAGATATTGTTAAGTAAACCATACGTAATGTCAGGCCCTACATCTGCGCATAGACAATCTTTGAAGACTTAAAAGCCAAACAAGTGTGATAATTGCTATTTTACGTTTTTTAAAAACACCATAAAATAAAGGACTATCTGTGTATAATTCATTTGCAAACTTAGATTAAATTTTTCACTGACAATCTTGATAAATTGCCCTCTGTTGTCTGCTATATATACAATTTTTTGTCACGAACAGTTACCACATCGAGAGAAAAGGTGCTCCTTATATTCAAGATCAAATTGAAAAAAAATCTCTACAAACCAACCCTGCGGCTTATACTCGGGTGAGGTTTATAGCCCAGAAAATACAGTACATGTTTTAATGTCCCTTTAGAAAGCATGACCCTGATCATCCAGATTGACCATAATTTGTCATGAAAATGACATTAGGAACATTATTGTGACCCAGATATTGAATGTTACTGACATAGTGAATTATGAGTAAAGGAACATTAATTAACATAGTACTGTCATGTTTTTATTTAAATTCATATTAATTAGACTAGGGATAATTTTACTGTAATTTTAAAATTTGTATTGGTATGACGTGATTATACATAGAAGATTACTGCCTAATTGTGTTTTCAAAATATGATACTTTAAAGGAAAAATGAAAAATAGTTTGTGGTACATTAACTGGCTCTCACACCTTGTATACTAAAAGTCAGTAGACAAGACATGCCTGAAGAAAATGCAATTAGATGTTATAAAAATGATTACCTAATAAGGCCAAACATACACTATGTTTAAGCAGTGTTATGCATCATCTCTAAATCAACAATGGTAAAGCTTAATGGTTTTATCAACCATGGAATCTTAAACTAGATGATTATTTAACTGAGTATCCCAGAGAACTATAGTAACCCACAATACTATTTATATACCAGGGTATCCCAGAGAACTACAGTAACCCACAATACTATTTATATACCAGGGTATCCCAGAGAACTACAGTAACCCACATTACTATTTATATACCAGGGTATCCCAGAGAACTACAGTAACCCACAGTACTATTTATATACCAGGGTATCCCAGAGAACTACAGTAACCCACAATACTATTTATATACCAGGGTATCCCAGAGAACTACAGTAACCCACAATACTATTTATATACCAGGGTATCCCAGAGAACTACAGTAACCCACAGTACTATTTATATACCAGGGTATCCCAGAGAACTACAGTAACCCACAATACTATTTATATACCAGGGTATCCCAGAGAACTACAGTAACCCACAATACTATTTATATACCAGGGTATCCCAGAGAACTACAGTAACCCACAATACTATTTATATACCAGGGTATCCCAGAGAACTACAGTAACCCACAGTACTATTTATATACCAGGGTATCCCAGAGAACTACAGTAACCCACAGTACTATTTATATACCAGGGTATCCCAGAGAACTACAGTAACCCACAGTACTATCTATATACCAGGGTATCCCAGAGAACTACAGTAACCCACAGTACTATTTATATACCAGGGTATCCCAGAGAACTACAGTAACCCACAGTACTATTTATATACCAGGGTATCCCAGAGAACTACAGTAACCCACAGTACTATTTATATACCAGGGTATCCCAAAGAACAACAGTAACCCACAGTAGTATTTATATACCAGGGTATCCCAGAGAACTACAGTAACCCACAGTACTATTTATATACCAGGGTATCCCAGAGAACTACAGTAACCCACAATACTATTTATATACCAGGGTATCCCGGAGAATTACAGTAACCCACAGTACTATTTATATACCAGGGTATCCCGGAGAATTACAGTAACCCACAGTACTATTTATATACCAGGGTATCCCAGAGAACTACACTACACAGTACTATTTATATACCAGGGTATCCCAGAGAACTATAGTAACCCACAGTACTATTTATATATCAGAGTATCCCAGAGAACTACATTAACCCACAGTACTATTTATCTACCAGTTTATCCCGGAGAATTACAGTAACCCACAGTACTATTTATATACCAGGGTATCCCAGAGAACAACAGTAACCCACAGTACTATTTATATACCAGGGTATCCCGGAGCGCTACAGTAACCCACAGTAGTATTTATATACCAGGGTATCCCAGAGAGCTACACTACACAGTACTATTTATATACCAGGGTATCCCAGAGAACTATAGTAACCCACAGTACTATTTATATACCAGGATATCCCGGAGCGCTACAGTAACCCACAGTAGTATTTATATATCAGGGTATCCCAGAGAACTATAGTAACCCACAATACTATTTATATACCAGAGTATCCCAGAGAACTACAGTAACCCACAGTACTATTTATATACCAGGGTATCCCAGAGAACTACAGTAACCACAGTACTATTTATATACCTTGGTTCCAGAGAAAGGTCACCATTAAAGTGCCCAACCACAAGGGTTTTTCAGAGACTCCACAGTTTCCTATCCCAACAAAACCCTGCCTCTTCCATTCAGACCCAAGATTTATTATTGATTTTCTGTAACTTTTTTAACATTATTATTATAAATTTCTAGAAGACCAGACCTTCTGGGGATATAATATACCTGGGTTTCTTAGGGTATTCTAGTCTAAACAGGGTTCCTATGGGTATTCTAGTGTAAACCAGAGTTTCTGAAGGTATCCAGGTGTATACCACAGTTTCTGAGGCTATTCATTTATATACCTAGGTTTTTAAGGATGTTCTAGTTTAGACCTGGGTTTCTAAACAGGTTTTCTGTGGGTATTCTAGTGTAAACAGGGTTTCTGTGGGTATTGTAGTATATGCCAGGGTTTCTGTGGGTATTCTAGTGTAAACAGGTTTTCTGTGGGTATTCTTGTGTAAACAGGGTTTCTGTGGGTATTGTAGTGTAAACAGGGTTTCTGTGGGTATTGTAGTGTAAACAGGGTTTCTGTGGGTATTCTTGTGTAAACAGGGTTTCTTTGGGTATTCTAGTGAAAACAGGGTTTCTGTGGGTATTCTAGTGTAAACAGGGTTTCTGTGGGAATTGTAGTATATATCTGGGTTTCTGTGGGTATTCTAGTGTAAACAGGGTTTCTGTGGGTATTCTAGTATATATCTGGGTTTCTATGGGTATTCTAGTGTAAACATGGTTTCAGTGGGTATTGTAGTATATATCTGGGTTTCTGTGTGTATTGTAGTGTAAACAGGGTTTCTGTGGGTATTCTAGTGTAAACAGAGTTTCAGTGGGTATTGTAGTATATATCTGGGTTTCTGTGTGTATTGTAGTGTAAACAGGGTTTCTGTGGGTATTCTAGTGTAAACAGGGTTTCAGTGGGTATTGTAGTATATATCTGGGTTTCTGTGTGTATTGTAGTGTAAACAGGGTTTCTGTGGGTATTCTAGTGTAAACAGGGTTTCAGTGGGTATTGTAGTATATATCTGGGTTTCTGTGTGTATTGTAGTGTAAACAGGGTTTCTGTGGGTATTCTAGTGTAAACAGGGTTTCAGTGGGTATTGTAGTATATATCTGGGTTTCTGTGTGTATTGTAGTATAAACAGGGTTTCTGTGGGTATTCTAGTGTAAACAGGGTTTATGTGGCTATACTAGTATACCAGGGTTTCTGTTGGTATTGTAGTGTATACTGGTATCTAGCAACGTATTCATGCATGCACACAAGGAATATCATCTTAATCATGCTTCAGTCAGCCATAAGCTTTTAGTTCCTTGGGATTTTGTATATCAAATGCTTATTACTTCTTCGATAAATGATATTTTCAAATGAGTTCATTTTTACTGGTTTTAGTAATAAATGTATTGTGGTCAAAATATTGTTATATCTACCTAGTGTTTACATGAGAATGCCATTCCTGAAATACTGACTAATTATCTATACTGTAATTAAATACTATATACTATAACAAGTATACATTAATGGACTGTCTGTGACATGGACAGTTTTATGTTGTTGTTTTGTGTAACCATGCTTGACTATGAAATGGTCATACAAGAAAGCTACAAGCATAGTCATTGTAATGCTGCGATAAAATGTTGTCCTCACCAAGTTGTTAAAATAGTCCAATTGCTAAATTGATAAGTTAGAGAAAGTTACTTATTTATCAAAAGGTCATCCTCGATACTCCAGGGGCTACGATCACTTTTGCCCATCGCACCCTTGGGACATTTCACAGCAAAATCAAAGGCTCCTTGTGAGAAACCTTTTGGAAAAAACTACATGTAGTTTGATCCTTTGCTGTACATCAAAAAATCTCAAGGTCATATAACAGTTTGTTTTACTAGCTTTAAAGTTGGGTGTCCCTCCTTGTTTTTGATCTCCTGGAACCTTTTCTGTGCCTTCAATTTTACCATAACATGTTCCAGGGGTTGAGAGAGCTATAGCGAGCATAATCCCTGAAGTATCGAGGATTAACCAACATGTTTTCACTAACGAATAAATAATAAACAAATCCCACACTATTCAATATGAGTGTAAATTTCTTCATATATTGAAAAAAAAAATGTTAAAAATCTCAAATACACTTCAAGTTTTCACTCTGTAAGGAAGATTTGATTACATACATAGACTTAAATAAAACTGGTATATATCACTATTTGTCTTGAGCTTTTTACAGACACCTGTCTTTATGACCTAAAAATCCTCCATATACATGTGCAAAGTTAGTGTTCTCAGGTGAAATGTTACTGGTTACATGCAGTGTTAAAGTGGGTGGTGTTACTTATCTATATATACATAAACACATACCTTGGTGAATAAACCTTTAAATGGCTTCTGATCAGTTGTTGAACCTAAGCCAACAAAATAGAAATAACATTAACAGAATGAAAATAGGAAATAGATCCATCAATTCAATTACCTCACCTAAAAATTCCTTTCCCCCTAAGTCCTAGGATACTTTACACTGGCCTACAGACCAAAAATTTCAACGAAACAATTGTTACTGATTTTTAAGGTTGTTTTTCCCGATGGAAAATTAATGTAAGTAATGTTACAGTAGAAATAAAAAGACTCATTATCTGACAAATTTCTATATATAGTAACAGTGCTTTTAACCCTGGAAACCCAAAACTCATTCTTGTTTCAAAAAATTGTACCCTTGTAAAAATTTGATAAATTTCAATCAACATATCTATGGAAGATGACGTTGACAAAACGTTCTTTAGCAATCAACATATCTATGGAAGCTGACGTTGACAAAACATTCTTTAGCAATCAACATATCTATGGAAGCTGACGTTGACAAAACGTTCTTTAGCAATCAACATATCTATGGAAGCTGACATTGACAAAACATTCTTTAGCAATCAACATATCTATGGTATGAAAATGACAGAGTCACATACCTTTATTCAGTGTTGAATGGAAAGTGTCTGTTTGCCCTGTTCCTGGTCCTCTAGGTGGGGGTTCATGTGGTGAATCATTATAGCCTCGATATGGAATTTCTGGAGGGGCAGTACCCTGTGATCAATGATCAGATTCATATTATAAGCACTTTGTTTAATTGAGGACCTAAAAACATACAACTGTCGTTGATAACAAGGGCCTACAAATGTGTAATAACTGTTACTGATGTCGAGGGCCTACAAATGTACAGTAACGGTCATTGATGACAAGGCCCTACAAATGTATAATAACTGTTACTGATGACAAGGACCTACAAATGCAGAGTAACTGTCAATGATGACAAGGACCTACAAATGTACAGTAACTGTCATTGATGACGGGGGCCTACAAATGTACAGTAACTGTCATTGATGTTGAGGGCCTACAAATGTATAATAACTGTCATTGATGACAAGGACCTACAAATGTACAGTAACTGTCATTGATGACGGGGGGCCTACAAATGTATAGTAAATTTCATTGATGACAAGGACCTACAAATGTACAGTAACTGTCATTGATGACGGGGGCCTACAAATGTACAGTAACTGTCATTGATGACGGGGGCCTACAAATGTATAGTAACTGTCATTGATGACATGGACCTACAAATGTACGGTAACTGTCATTGATGACTGGGTCCTACAAATGTACAGTAACTGTCATTGATGACAAGGGCCTACAAATGTATAATAACTGTCACTGATGACGGGGGTATAGTAACTCTCATTGATGACAAGGACCTACAAATGTTCAGTAACTGTCATTGATGACGGGGGCCTACAAATGTACAGTAACTGTCATTGATGACGGGGGGCCTACAAATGTACAGTAACTGTCATTGATGACAAGGGCCTACAAATGTATAATAACTGTCATTGATGACAAGGACCTACAAATGTACAGTAACTGTCATTGATGTTGAGGGCCTACAAATGTATAATAACTGTCACTGATGTTGAGGGCCTACAAATGTATAATAACTGTCATTGATGACAAGGGCTACAAATGTACAGAAACTGTCATTGATGACAAGGGCCTACAAATGTATGATAACTGTCATTGATGACTTGGGCCTACAAATGTATAGTAACTCTCATTGATGACAAGGACCTACAAATGTACAGTAACTGTCATTGATGACGGGGGCCTACAAATGTACAGTAACTGTCATTGATGACGGGGGCCTACAAATGTATAGTAACTGTTGTTGATGACAAGGACCTACAAATTTACAGTAACGGTCATTGATGACAAGGACCTACAAATGTAAAGTAACTGTCATTGATGAAGGGGACCTACAAATGTACAGTAACTGTCATTGATGTCGAGGGCCTACAAATGTATAGTAACTGTCATTGATGACAAGGACCTACAAATGTACAGTAACTGTCATTGATGACGGGGGCCTACAAATGTACAGTAACTGTCATTGATGACGGGGGCCTACAAATGTATAGTAACTGTTGTTGATGACAAGGACCTACAAATGTACAGTAACGGTCATTGATGACAAGGACCTACAAATGTACAGTAACAGTCATTGATGACGGGGGCCTACAAATGTACAGTAACTGTGATTGATGACAAGGCCCTACAAATGTATAATAACTGTTACTGATGTCGAGGGCCTACAAATGTATAGTAACTGTTGTTTATGACAAGGACCTACAAATGTACAGTAAATTTCATTGATGACAAGGACCTACAAATGTGTAATAACTGTTACTGATGTCGCGGCCTACAAATGTACAGTAACGGTCATTGATGACAAGGACCTACAAAAGTACAGTAACGGTCATTGATGACAAGGACCTACAAATGTACAGTAACGGTCATTGATGACAAGGACCTACAAATGTACAGTAACTGTCATTGATGACAAGGGCGTACAAATGTACAGTAACTGTCATTGATGACAAGGCCCTACAAATGTATAATAACTGTTACTGATGTCGAGGGCCTACAAATGTACAGTAACGATCATTGATGACAAGGCCCTACAAATGTATAATAACTGTTACTGATGTCGAGGGCCTACAAATGTACAGTAACTGTCATTGATGACAAGGCTCTACAAATGTACAGTAACGGTCATTGATGACTGGGGCCTACAAATGTACAGTAACTGTCATTGATGACAAGGACCTACAAATGTATAATAACTGTCATTGATGACGGGGGCCTACAAATGTATAGTAACTCTCATTGATGACAAGGACCTACAAATGTACAGTAACTGTCATTGATGACTGGGGCCTACAAATGTACAGTAACTGTCATTGATGACAAGGGCCCAAAATGTATAATAACTGTCACTGATGTTGAGGGCCTACAAATGTATAATAACTGTCATTGATGACAAGGGCCTACAAATGTATGATAACTGTCATTGATGACGGGGGCCTACAAATGTATAGTAACTCTCATTGATGACAAGGACCTACAAATGTACAGTAACTGTCATTCATGATGGGGGCCTACAAATGTACAGTAACTGTCATTGATGACAGGGGCCTACAAATGTATAGTAACTGTTGTTGATGACAAGGACCTACAAATTTACAGTAACGGTCATTGATGACAAGGACCTACAAATGTACAGTAACTGTCATTGATGACGGGGGCCTACAAATGTACAGTAACTGTCATTGATGTCGAGGACCTACAAATGTACAGTAACGGTCATTGGTGACAAGGACCTACAAATGTACAGTAACTGTCATTGATGACGGGGGCCTACAAATGTACAGTAACTGTCATTGATGACGGGGGGCTACAAATGTATAGTAACTATCATTGATGACAAGGATCTACAAATGTACAGTAACTGTCATTGATGGCAGGGGCCTATAAATGTATAGTAACTGTTGTTGATGACAAGGACCTACAAATGTACAGTAAATTTCATTGATGACAAGGACCTACAAATGTACAGTAACTGTCATTGATGACGGGGGGCTACAAATGTATAGTAACTGTCATTGATGACAAGGATCTACAAATGTACAGAAACTGTCATTGATGGCAGGGGCCTACAAATGTATAGTAACTGTTGTTGATGACAAGGCCCTACAAATGTATAGTAACTGTCATTGATGACAAGGACCTACAAATGTACAGTAAATTTCATTGATGACAAGGACCTACAAATGTGTAGTAACTGTTACTGATGTTGAGGGCCTACAAATGTACAGTAACGGTCATTGATGACAAGGACCTACAAATGTACAGTAACTGTCATTGATGACAAGGACCTACAAATGTACAGTAACTGTCATTGATGACAAGGGCCTACAAATGTACAGTAACGGTCATTGAGGACAAGGCCCTACAAATGTTTAATAACTGTTACTGATGTCGAGGGCCTACAAATGTATAGTAACTGTTGTTTATGACAAGGACCTACAAATGTACAGTAAATTTCATTGATGACAAGGACCTGCAAATGTGTAATAACTGTTACTGATGTCGAGGGCCTACAAATGTACAGTAACGGTCATTGATGACAAGGTCCTACAAAAGTACAGTAACGGTCATTGATGACAAGGACCTACAAATGTACAGTAACGGTCATTGATGACAAGGACCTACAAATGTACAGTAACTGTCATTGATGACAAGGGCGTACAAATGTACAGTAACTGTCATTGATGACAAGGCCCTACAAATGTATAATAACTGTTACTGATGTCGAGGGCCTACAAATGTACAGTAACTGTCATTGATGACAAGGCCCTACAAATGTATAATAACTGTTACTGATGTCGAGGGCCTACAAATGTACAGTAACTGTCATTGATGACAAGGCTCTACAAATGTACAGTAACGGTCATTGATGACGGGGGCCTACAAATGTACAGTAACTGTTGTTGATGACAAGGACTTACAAATGTACAGTAACTGTCATTGATGACAAGAGCCTACAAATGTACAGTAACTGTCATTGATGACAAGGACCTACAAATGTACAGTAACTGTCATTGATGACGGGGGCCTACAAATGTACAGTAACTGTCAATGATGGCAAGGACCTACAAATGTACAGTAACTGTCATTGATGACGGGGGCCTACAAATGTACAGTAACTCTTGTTGATGACGAGGGCCTACAGTGGCTGTGGTGATTGATGACCTTGACCTTAGTATGTTAATTCCGATACTCTTACATTATAGTATGTATAAAGACAGTTGAATACTTACAGGTGAGGAGGCAGGAGCCACATCTACACCTGTAAAATTAAAATTCATAAATAAATAGATTTTGTATTGTCATGTAACAATGGAGATTTTCTCAAGAGACTGACACAAAATAATGTCTGATGTGGAAATGTCCATTTCACGAAATACAAGGTGTCACAGGATCCGTTTTCAGTACTGCAGCAGTAGGAGTTAATGGAGTCACTGCCAGTAAATTGGATACAGGTGCCATAGGTGTTAAAGGAGATATTTGCCTGAATTATCAGTCACGTAATAAAGATGACCTGAACTTCATTTCAATTTCATATGTGATTTTTTTTATTAAGAAAAATATCCTTACACAATTGGAGTTTTTTTTTTTTTTTTTAAATTCTTTTATTTTTTGGTTTGCTCTGGCAGTGAAAATGAATTATTTCTGTAACATATATTCAGATAATTGCAGGGAAAAGGAAGTTTTGTAACCTATCAAATAAAAAACATTCAAAATTCGTCATCAGAACAAAAGTTTATTACTGGAGGTTTTTAGCTTCTCAAAGACATCCTTAAATAAGTGAAATGATTGATGATAAGAAATTTGAGAATCTCTGAGATACTTACAGGAATATAAATTGTCATCAGTCTTCGGAGCCTCCCCAATCACCACCTCAGAATAGGATCCATCTCCGCCAAGTATGTGACTTTGAAAACCGGTTTCAGGGGCATTACGAGCTTGGGAGTAGATATCCTGTTGTGGGGCAAGAACTGGTTTTGGTTGACCTTGGCTTGACCTCAGAGGAGAGGACCCTCCTTTATCTTTCTTGGTGACAGAGGACCTTTTTCCGTCTTTCTGAACAAAAGTGTAAATGTCCCCTCCCGTACTGGCTGAGGAAACGGGCCCACTTGTCTTTTGCTCTTTTGTGTGTGATGCTATAGAATATAAGTTATTGTTAGGTTCTGATACTGTTTTAGTATTTGAAACAGGTGTCCGTTCCCCACTAACCATAATCTTTGTTACATGTTTACCATTGCTGGTTGCAGGGCCTTGAGTTGCTGCTGGTGGCTTACTTGTCGCTTTCACTTGAACAGGTTGAGGAGTCAACATGGAATCCTTTGGTAGTTTTGCTGCAAGTGGCTCTTTGCTATCAGGCTTGGTCTCTGGTTTGGATGGTGCAGAGGACCATTTAGGTCCAGAACTAACAAACTTTGGACCAGAGGAAGGTGGTGTTGTGACCGCAGGTTTTAAATGTGTTTTACTGGCGACCGCATAAACAAAGCTATCAGAAGCATCCGTCACCACAGGACTGTTCATCTTTTTCTGTGCTAACACAGGACTGTTCATCTTTTTCTGTGCTAACACAGGACTGTTCATCTTTTTCTGTGCTAACACAGGACTGTCAGCTTTTTTCCCTGTATGTACAGAACTTTCTGCTGATTTCCCTACAAATACAGGGCCACTTGGCTGGCTTTTGGCTGAAGGAGAAGGTGGAGTTTGTTTTTTTGGGAGCTGTGGTGAGAATCTCCTTTCCTGGGGTGGAGTTGATTTTGATATATTGGAGCTTCCCTGGTTTTGCTCTATCACCACCAGATCCATATTTTCATAGGAAGTACTTGCCACAGCCACATTTTGATACTTGTTTTTCACAACTGGTTTAGTGTCCTTATTAACATCACCTTGAGGTGGTGTTGGCTCATGGATGGGAAGAGCAGGTTTAGCTGCAGATGGAACTGAAGGTCTTGATGGATGTTTATCATCATGTCGAATGTCACTATCAAGTTTTTCTCCTTCTTCGTTGGTACATCTGTCAACAGTGTCCCGAACACTGTTATATAAAACTTTAGTTGCTGACAAGTAACTGTAAATATCAACATCATCATCTTTGGGTGTAGAACCAGAAATAGTGCTCGCAGAATCAGTCACCATGTCTGTAATACAGAAACATGAGATATTAATTCATACTATCTTATGTGTATGTCATAATGATGTAATATAGACAATAAAAGTAATTACTTGAAGATAGCCATACAAAGCTTGAAAATTGCTAAAATAGCTAAATATTTTCTAGATTTGGCATCAGTTACATTACTATGGCCTTAACTGTTTTTTACATAAGAAAACATAAGACATGATTCGTAAAATCTATGATCCAAGTTTGAATAAAATATAACAAGGAGTTCAAAAGTCAAGAGACATTTTCAAAAAAAACAAGAACATGTGTATGCTGACCGGTCACCATGTCAACAAAACTGTTCTAAATGAGAGTGATGTTGTACTTTTCTCTGGGCACAGTGACCAGTATTTGGATCAAATATGATAAAATCTCTCCAGCAGCTTTTGAGAAACTTCTCGAAATTCTCTTAACTTTAAGATTTATATTAAAATGATGCTTTGATTTTAATAATGTTTTAAAGTGGTTTAACATCACCAAGCAAATGCTTAAAATAAAAAATATAAGTTGAAAAACTTACTTAGGCTATCCAGTGCATCTTGCTGAAAGTTGAGAAGCAAAGTAACACATGAACCATTAAATATTTCAAAAACAAGAATTCAAAATCATGATAAAATACTGACACAATCTAAGTAAGAGATGTGATATTGACACACAGAAGGCATCATCACTGGTGGTATGTGATCAGTAAATATTGACGGTACATTATTTCAATACTGTAAAATCCCTTCATTTTATGGGACTCAATTTTCATGGTTTTTTCCAAAAATACCCATTTTGTGAACATATAATTGAATGAATCTGCTTTTATTTACTTTATTAGATCATGGAATATGAATTTGTGCATAAAAAGTACCCCTGAAATCAATGTAAATAATCCACTCATAAAAATCATTCAAAATGAACATTTAAACAAACACTTTGAAGACTACCAATGGTGCAATTTTGACCTTTAACCTTAAAACCTTGACCTATGACAATGAAGTTTACAATATTATGGTGTAAATATGAACTAATTCCACTCTAAGGTTCATTACATATTTCATATGTATCAAACTTTGAATTTCAAAAGTGGTCAAGTGTGACCTTTAACCCTGACTAAAGTCCAACAAAATGTAATCAGGTGCAGAATTTCATTTTCTCATAGTATGAAGGAAGTATATGATCTCAATCTGTTGAGGGGCATTTGAGATAAACCCTGTATCATATAAATGAATTTTAAGTCAATTTAAACTTTAAATGAAACATACTTGAACACAGCTATCACTATATACCCTTTGACCTTTGATGATGATGATGATGATGATGATGATGATGATGATGATGATGATGATGATGATGATGATGATGATGATGATGATGATGATGATGATGATGATGATGAAATGTCAAGAACTACCCTGGATAGAAAGAGAGGGATTGTAAGAGCAATATTGGAGAAATAACTCACCTCTTCATCATTACCCCCATAGTTCATGTAGATGTTTTCTTCCATGATTTCCAAATGTTTCTGGAATAAATCTCTCACAGCAAGATGTGCCATCTCATACTGGTCCTGTCAACAGAACACACATTGTTAGGTAAATTAAGGAAACATCTTATCATAAGGTAAACCTTGGTTAAGTTAAGAAGACAAACATCTTATCATACAGGTAAATCTTGGTGAAAGCCTGAAGACAAACATCTTATCATACAGGTAAATCTTGGTTAAAGCATGAAGACAAACATCTTATCATACAGGTAAATCTTGGTTAAAGCATGAAGACAAACATCTTATCATACAGGTAAATTTTGCTTAAGTTAAGAAGACAAACATCTTATCGTACTGGTACATCTTATCATACAGGTAAATCTTGGTTAAAGCATGAAGACAAACATCTTATCATACAGGTAAATTTTGCTTAAGTAAAGAAGACAAACATCTTATCATACAGGTATATCTTATCATACAGGTAAATTTTGCTTAAGTTAAGAAGACAAACATCTTATCATACAGGTAAATTTTGCTTAAGTTAAGAAGACAAACATCTTATCATACAGGTAAATCTTGCTTAAGTTAAGAAGACAAACATCTTATCATACAGGTAAATTTTGGTTAAATTAAGTAGACAAACATCTTATCATACAGGTAAATTTTGGTTAAATTAAGAAGACAAACATCTGATCATACAGGTAAATCTTAAATAATGTAAATCACAGAGACAAATATATTAACATACTGGTAAATACTGGTTAGACAATTGAGTCAAACAAGTTACTATACAGCTAAATCTCAAGTAAATCAAGGATGCAAGAATCTTATACAGATCAGTCAAGGAAGCACACATTTGGTCATACAGGTAAATGTTGAGTAAATCAATAAACCAAACAGGATATCATAAAGGTAAATCATAGGTTAATCAATGATGCATATAAACATGTAAATCTTAAACAAATCAAGGGGTCAAACACCTGCTTCAACAGGTTAATCTCAGGTAAACAAAAGGGCCAACAGGTCAATCAAAAGCCAACAGGACAATCTCAGGTAAATCAAGGGCCAACAGGACAATCTCAGGTAAACCAAGGGCCAACAGGTCAATCTCAGGTAAACCAAGGGCCAACAGGACAATCTCAGGTAAATCCAGGACCAACAGGACAATCTCAGGTAAACCAAGGGCCAAGATGACAATCTCAGGTAAACCACGGGTCAACAGGTCAATCTCAGGTAAACCAAGGACCAAAGCATCATATCCTTGACTTCAAACCAATACTTGTTTACTCAGTAAATAACAGAATACATTCACGTAGATGGTTAACCTGCCCTGATATTACCATAACATTCATCTGATAACTACACAGCTTTATCTGATAACTACACAGCTTTATCAGATAACTACACAGCTTTATCTGATAACTGCACAGCTTTATCTGATAACTACACAGCTTTATCAGATAACTGCACAGCTTTATTTGATAACTACACAGCTTTATCAGATAACTGCACAGCTTTATCTGATAACTACACAGCTTTATTTGATAACTTCATAGCCTTTTTACATTGGAAACTTTGGAATCTTAATTTTAGTATACAAATAAAAACTAAATAGTGTTATACAAACCGGAGTTTGAATCATGGACTGACGTTGCTCTCTCATAATCTCCACTATGTTCTTTAAGTTGAAGTCTCTTGTCAGTCTCTGCAGAAAGCAATTTTCTCCTGTATACCATTTTAAACACTAGTTATGTCACAAATGAAATGAACACCCGTTCCAATCCCAGCTATCTTTCAATGTACCTCACTTTATCATAATTATCAAGAATGTTTCCATTATGAAAACTTTCAATCCATTCATAGCAGTATAGATTTATTCCTGTTGTCTCTCCCAAGTACGTTTAACCCAGTCTTGATAATCTCCTAAGCATACAATACCCAGTATACATACCCAAGCCTTGATAATCTCCTAAGCATACAATACCCAGTATACATACCCAAACCTTGATAATCTCCTAAGCATACAATACCCACTAAACGTACCCAAGCCTTGATAATCTCCTAAGCATACAATACCCAGTATACATACCCAAACCTTGATAATCTCCTAAGCATACAATACCCAGTAAACGTACCCAAGCCTTGATAATCTCCTAAGCATACAATACCCAGTATACATACCCAAGCCTTGATAATCTCCTCAGCATAAATACCCAGTATACATACCCAAGCCTTGATAATCTCCTAAGCATAAATACCCAGTATACATACCCAAGCCTTGATAATCTCCTAAGCATAAATACCCAGTATACATACCCAAACCTTGATAATCTCCTAAGCATATAATACCCAGTATACATACCCAAGCCTTGATAATCTCCTAAGCATAAATACCCAGTATACATACCCAAACCTTGATAATCTCCTAAGCATACAATACCCAGTATACATTCCCAAACCTTGATAATCTCCTAAGCATACAATACCCAGTAAACGTACCCAAGCCTTGATAATCTCCTAAGCATACAATACCCAGTATACATACCCAAGCCTTGATAATCCCCTAAGCATACAATACCCAGTAAACGTACCCAAGCCTTGATAATCTCCTAAGCATACAATACCCAGTAAACGTACCCAAGCCTTGATAATCTCCTAAGCATACAATACCCAGTATACGTACCCAAGCCTTGATAATCTCCTAAGCATACATTATCCTATATATCAGCACAATGCTTGAGAATCTCTAAAACATACACTACCCAGTGTACTTACTCTAACTTCAGAATCTTGCAGGCATATACTATACAGTATACTTACCCCACCTTTGAGAATCTCCCACGCATAATCAATGGCACAGACAGTTCCAGTTCGTCCACAGCCAGCGCTGTCAGGAGAGGAATTGATGTCATTTAAAACAAAAGAAAATGACAAGATACACAAAGAGTCAAAATTTTCCTGTTATGTTACTGAAACTGAATTTAAATAAAAAATGTCAATCATGCCTACAATCTGAAAATGCAGCTGATAATAGCATAATTTATGCTCTATAAAACAAACATTTTCATTGGCCATTTTTTTTATGTTATCACCCCATAATATAAAACAAGAAAGTTAAAGTGATGAATGAATTTGTATAACTGATGTATACATTATGTTTCAATATCCAGGCAAAGTAAAGCTCCAAATACAAAATTTTAACAAAGGGAAATAACTCTGTAATTGTAGACTCGAGTGCCCTGAATATGGTACACAGCACATTGTCTTATTATGATCAATGTATACACTAACTTTCATGATCCTTGCTTAACTGTGGACAAAGTTATGGTTCAGCCAAGCAATTTTAAACAAAGGGTAACAACTCTGCACTTGATGTCATGGACCCATTCTTTGCTCCACTACACTTTGCTTTTTGGGGAGCATAAAAAATGTAATGTCAAAATGGACTGGCCAATATAGCAGTACCAGATATATTATAAAAGAAAAAAAGTCCCTTATGATGTCAAAAACATCGCAATCTGTGATAAAATTATATAGGTTAGCTATTGCAGTTCAAGCTAAGAGCCAATAATATATAAAAGAATTAAAGTAAATCTTCATGTGATGATTCCCTACCTGCAGTGGATTAATATTGGTGCCTTTTCTGAGTCATTTTTACGAATGTCTCTCATTTTGGCGACCATGGCCAGGATAACTTCGCGATCTTCAGGAATACCATGGTCTGGCCAGCCTGTGTAGTGATACTGCGTAACTGTTTGACACTCGTCACCATACCATACTTCCAACACACGCACTGTACAGTCCTCCTTCATAACATTCTCTTTTGTCTACAAAGGTCAAGGTCACATATACCAGAGTCATCAAAACACAGTGAACAACTGGTCATCTGTATAAATCACACAATAAGGTCATACAAGGTCAGCGTTTCCACCTTTGTATCAAGGTCACGGAATATCAGGTTTTATAATTGTTCATGATTCATTTCAAACTGATATTAACTTTAATTCAGCTTTCCTTGTGTAATATATGTATAGGCTCAGAGTATTAAAAGTCTGTCAAGTTTGTTTTAACATTTTGACAGGTATGAATTTGTCTTACCTTTTTGAAAAGGTAAAAATTTGCCTCAAAATTTTGAAAATTTGAATTTGACTTAAAATTTTTGACAATTATATTATGAATTTGTCTTACATTTTCACAGATGTCTGTCCTAACATTTTGATAGGTATGAATTTGTCTTACATTTTCACAGATCTCTGTCCTAACATTTTGATAGGTATGAATTTGTCTTACATTTTCACAGATGTCTGTCCTAACATTTTGATAGGCATGAATTTGTCTGACATTTTCACAGATCTCTGTCCTAACATTTTGATAGGTATGAATTTGTCTTACATTTTCACAGATCTCTGTCCTAACATTTTGATAGGTATGAATTTGTCTTACATTTTCACAGATCTCTGTCCTAACATTTTGATAGGTATGAATTTGTCTTACATTTTCACAGATCTCTGTCCTAACATTTTGATAGGTATGAATTTGTCTTACATTTTCACAGATCTCTGTCCTAACATTTTGATAGGTATGAATTTGTCTTACATTTTCACAGATCTCTGTCCTAACATTTTGATAGGTATGAATTTGTCTGACATTTTCACAGATCTCTGTCCTAACATTTTGATAGGTATAATTTGTCTTACCAGTTTGACATTGACATATCCATAGTTTTCCTCCTCACCAACTGACTTGGGCCAATACATTGCACATTTTTTCTGAAAATAATCAATGTTTCATTTGATACTCAACTGTGTATTGAGTACACTGCACAAAAATGAAATCTTTAACCTCACAAAATAACAGGTAATAGTTTATAGCTACTTTAAAGAAATATAACTTGTAGATAAAAAAATCAAAGAACAAAAATTTTATTTGTATATCATATATGTTGTGATTTTACCTTGTTTCCCTCTATGAGTTTACAGGCCATAATGACCACTTTGACCCTGTACTCCATGATCATTCTCCAGAAGTCATCCACCGTATGGGGTAGAGGTCCCTGGGAGGCGATGTAGCCATCATTATTATAGGGATCCTGTCACATAGAACAACACAAATCTCAATATAACCAACTCTACCGAGATCCCTGGGAGGCGATGTAGCCATCATTATTATAGGGATCCTGTCAAATAGACAAATGTCAACATAACCAACTCTACTGAGGTCCCTGGGAGGCGATGTAACCATCATTATTATAGGGATCCTGTCACATAGAACAACACAAATGTCAACATAACCAACTCTACCGAGGTCCCTGGGAGGCGATGTAACCATCATTATTATAGGGATCCTGTCACATAGACAAATGTCAACATAACCAACTGTACCGAGGTCCCTGGGAGGCGATGTAGCCATCATTATTATAGGGATCCTGTCACATAGAACAACACAAATCTCAACATAACCAACTCTACCGAGGTCCCTGGGAGGGGATGTAGCCATCATTATTATAGGGATCCTGTCACATAGACAAATGTCAACATAACCAACTCTACCTACCAATAAATCTCAGGAAATTATCTACATTGAGATCTTAGTGCCATCCATTGTCTGATCCTCTGTGATTCAGTGTAATATATCGACCACTTGATTAATGTTGATTAATTACTTCAGCAGTAATCTCATTTCAGTGATTTTTGCTTTAAAGATGCTGTACCAGTATAAGATTTCGCTAATCCAATTTTTCCTTCATCACTGATATATTTGTTCAAAATTGATACAGTTCACGTATTTAAAGTTTAGTAAATACTCATACTGAAATTATTTCAAAGTGAGGTTGTCATTCAACTTTTTGACTTAACCAAGGATACAGATTTCTTTTGTCTATATACATCGTAGTGTAAAATTCCACAACTGAATCTAATTGTAGCATTGAACATCCTCACCGAGTAAAATATATAATATACAATGCTGTGCTGATTCCCTCTGTAAGTGACCTACAAGGTAGCAACAGGCATCCGACACAATAATCAAGCTTAGATAAAAGTTCTTGTGGGTCGTCAAGAAAAACAATTCAACACCAATATTTACTTTTATTCGGATGAACAGCAAACACCATCACTATCACCGATATAGGGTAAAAAATCCTGCTCTTTGACGTAGTCCAATCAAACAAAGCAAAACCTTGGCACCTCAGAATTGAACTCTCTGAACTTAACTCTAACGCTATTTAGGCTAATTGTACTCAGTACGCATAGCCTATTGCGACAGCCTTTCAGACAAAATTTACCGATCCTGGCCTTCTCATTGGCTGAAATATCGAAAAGAGTTAGAGCCCTCTAGCGGCAATTTTCTGCGTAAATAATGCCGTGATTTTTCAAATCGCTATTTTAAAAGCATCCAAAATCAGTTTATTTTTTTAATAACAATACGATTACTATATATTTCAAAAAAGAAGTACAGTGTGGTTGAACTATTGATAAATTTTGAACAATATATTTTACGGAATTCTCGACACGACGTAAGCGTACAGAACACTGTACGTGCGAGTTGGCGCCATGATAAGAAGCTAGTCTGGGGGCTTGGTTTGAATTATCAACTAACAGCACTTATAAACAAACAAAACTTACAAACAGAACATCAATTTTGCTTTAATCCTTGTTGTTGTGGCAAGATCGTTTTAATATATAACATCACTTGACCTCATTAGACGTCACAAAATTGGACTGTTCGTCCTACGCCCACCGCGCCGATATGACAGGATTTTTCAGGATTTCACACCCACCGCCATGACACTTTTTTCAAGTTTTTGAAGATAAAAAGTTTGCGCTTCGTAGGCAAGGTACATTTGGTGCTCATGATTTATGAATGATATATTTTTAATACTGTACTGATCATGATGCTGACTTTGTTATAACTTATATTTTTTGTCTTTTAGTTTTATTTGATGAAGGTTGATTGTGCTGATTTCTCAATGTTTGTTAATGTGTATCAAAGTTCCTTGAAATGAAAATATTCCTTCAAACAAAGCGCGTATAAAAAAAACCCAAAATATTCATGTTTATTAGCATCAATTAACTAGAACGAAATATTTCCGTAACAGATTTATTCATTTAGCGTGTCATGATGACATTATCTAATGCATTGGAGATCAGAAATAGTAGAAGCTATAGTGAAAATATTGTAAATTTTGTATATATATGGAAGTCTGGTTTAATCTCACAGAACTATGCCTTTGTAGACATAATTACTGGAAGAAAAGTCTAACCATGATACTTCAAGGAAGATAGGCATGTAAATACATTTAATGTAATTACTTACACTTTTATATATCTGAAATGCTGTGTATACCTTATCTACTTTCCTCTACTACAAATATGATTATAATAAGTAAGGACTATTACTTTGCAATACATTCAAAATAAAGAAGTAGGTATAAAGTCCTTCCGATTTGTTTAAATCCTCATATTGATAGGATAGTAATTGCAACATCTTGGGTATCTTAAAGTTTTATTTAGTCAACTTCATCATAGAGCTATTTATCATTTGGTGTGTTGGCGATAAATATATGGTTGTGTGTATTTTGATATTTTTTTTTTACCTATTTTGATTTACTTACATTATTGTCATCAAATTTGAAATCAGAATTAAAGAAGATATAAAATCGCTTAAAATTAAGAAAAATAGCCTCTGGTTCTCTTATTTTAGTAATTTTTGCATTCCAAAGTGTAGGAGTATGGGGAAAGTAATATAGCTTAGCGGTTATTTGTGAACAGTTTTCAATACATTTCGCCTCTCAGTACTTTCAGCACTTTGATTTTATACTAACCCCATTCAGACAAACTTTGCCTGATCACTTTCTTACATATCCTTTTTCTGTATTTTTTATTTTTCTAAATTCTATATGATACAGAAAAATAACAAGACAAATACACCAAATTCACACATATGAATCATCAACATCATGTCCTCCTCATCATCATGCAATTATTAATATCACTTCTTAAAGACCAGACCGTAAAGACCCCCTCACTGTGGTATAACATTAAGTGACCGTATGTGATGTAGATAGAGACACCGTAAAGCCCCCCCACAGTGGTGAAACATCAAGTGACCGTATGTGATGTAGATAGGGACACCGTAAAGCCCCCTACAGCAGTGTAATATCAAATGATTGTATGTGATGTAGATAGGGACACCATAAAGACCCCCCCCCACAGTGATGAAACATCAAGTGACCGTATGTGATGTAGATAGGGACACCGTAAAGCCCCCTACAGCAGTGTAACATCAAGTGATTGTATGTGATGTAGATAGGGACACCATAAAGACCTCTCACAGTGGTGAAACATCAAGTGACCGTATGTGATATAGATAAGGACACCATAAAGACCCCCCCCCACAGTGGTGAAACATCAAGTGACCATATGTGATATAGATAGGGACACCATAAAGACCTCTCACAGTGGTGAAACATCAAGTGACCGTATGTGATATAAATAGGGACACCATAAAGACCCCCCCCCCCACAGTGATGAAACATCAAGTGACCGTATGTGATATAGATAAGGACACCATAAAGACCCCCCACAGTGGTGAAACATCAAGTGACCATATGTGATATAGATAGGGACACCATAAAGACCCCCCACAGTGGTGAAACATCAAGTGACCATTTGTGATATAGATAGGGACACCGTAAAGCCCCCAAAAGTGGTGAAACATCAAGTGACCATATGTGATATAGATAGGGACACCATAAAGACCTCTCACAGCGGTGTTACATCAATAGGCCTTGAATTTAGTAAAAGGCAACTAATACCACTTGAGTGGTAATAAACTATAACCTCACACAATGTCACACACACAAACAGCAGCCATGGATCAGGGTAATTAATTCAATATAACAAGTAAAACCAGCAACCTATCTAAGTTCACATGGTAAACATGTACACAAGTCAAACATATAAAACAATACTGTTACTAATAAGACATAGACACTAATACTGTCCCTGGGAGGGGCCGGAGGAGGGGGTGGATGTGTTGCCCTACGTAACCTATGTTTTTGGTCTGATGCTTCCTACCCATGGCAGTTTGTGTTTCTCAGGAAACTGAGACATGGATCAGTCAGTTGTTTTGGTTGTGTCCTTGTACAAGACACTTTACCTTACTTGTTTTGGATGGAAGCCATCAGCGACTACATAAAGACCCCGCCTCAAAATGACACTAAGGCAACAAACCCAACACTTACTGTCCTTGGTGAGGAGAAAAGTACATTATGACAAAACAAGAGGCCCATGGGCCTTAACGGTCATCTGATATAAAATACAAGATTTCAAATTTTGAACTTGAGAAGAAGTCGAAAATGTGTTTTCAAGATGGCGGCCATGTTGGATTTCAGACCAACCCGAAATTAACAAACTTTGGTCAGGATCATGTCACAATCATTTCAGGTAAGTTTCAGCTCAATGAGACATGTAGAACTTGAGAAGAAGTTGAAAATGTTTACAACGGACAACACCGGACAACAGGCGATCACAATAGGTCATCAGACCCTTTGGTCAGATGACCTAAAAAGTCATCTGAAACTGACTACTGAGGGAGATATCTCCAAAGAAAAAAGCTTATGAGAGATGGACAGTTAGACAGGAACAGAAAAACAATGTACTCTCACCTAAACTCCTGTAAAATGACAAAATATGTCCCATTAGAGATTTCCTGAAAGGAAGTTAGAACTTAAATACAGTACATAACTACGGACATTTGTCCTGGACAACCATCAGGAAATATTTCGCCCTTACATTAAATGACTGATTATGTTTCCTCATCTACACAGCAACAAGTTAGTATACCAGGAAATTTTATCCACTTAGGTAGTGCATTCATCACACTTTCACCAGGAAATCGACAATAAACATTCATATGTACCACAGATGTATACTGTATTGTTATTGTATTAATAGATTTTACTTCCTGTTATTAGGGCTCACGACCCTTTGTCACGTTCCCAAAACTCAGATAAAGAGTCTTCAGTCAGTAAAATGGCTCTAATTTAGCGAGAAAACAAATTTTCATAAGATATTCGTGATGGCCTTCATAATTCCTTCGAACTTTTTGCAATGACAGATTTTTTCTCAAGCAGTAGATCTCTATTGCTGAAGCTGACTCTCTCTTATCCCTTTCCCTGTCTATAAATAGTACCAACCTTGATATCTGGTATGGCACTTGTAGGTGAAAATCAGTCTGCTCTTGATTCTATCTCCTCTGAACTGGATTTGCTCTAGTTATTTGAAAGTAAAATGTTTCTAAAACAACCTGTTTATACAAGTCCCTAATTCTTATCATTCAAATGTCCAAAATCAAGATGAGGAATTATTTTGACTATACACAGATACCAATCGGTGATTCAGTATCTTTACCAAAAACTTCATGGGTTGTCCATCACCCACCATAAAAAGGGTCATTCTTCATTGTATAAATATATAGCATAGGTGGTCAGAAGACACAGTGGTCCACACTTATATTTCATACAATCTCCCATTTCATCTTAGCAACCAGGGTTTGATTTTCCAATTGAATGTTAATGGGAATGATTGACCCACTTGGACCATGTGGGTTTTTCCTTAACTACTCCCTTTTTCCTCCGATGATTGACCTACTCGGACCATGTGGGTTTTTCCTTAACTACTCCCTTTTTCCTCCGATGATTGACCTACTCGGACCATGTGGGTTTTTCCGTTAACTACTCCCTTTTTCCTCCGATGATTGACCTACTAGGACCATGTGGGTTTTTCCTTAACTACTCCCTTTTTCCTCCGATGATTGACCTACTCGGACCATGTGGGTTTTTCCTTAACTACTCCCTTTTTCCTCCGATGATTGACCTACTCGGACCATGTGGGTTTTTCCTTAACTACTCCCTTTTTCCTCCGATGATTGACCTACTCGGACCATGTGGGTTTTTCCTTAACTACTCCCTTTTTCCACCGATGATTGACCTACTAGGACCATGTGGGTTTTTCCTTAACTACTCCCTTTTTCCACCAATGATTGACCTACTCGGACCATGTGGGTTTTTCCTTAACTACTCCCTTTTTCCTGCGGTACTCAATTTCCTCTCACAGTAAAACCATGAGTGTATGTCCATCCATGCCAACAAGGGTGATTGATTTAAGCTATTATCTTGTTTTGCAATGGTTGTAAAGTAGATAAAGTTTATGATTTAGAAATTATGTCAACATATTTTGCCGGAATTTTGATGGAAAGAAAAGACACCACAATTTGTTGAGAGATGCTAGTCTGAGTATCAGAATAAACATGAATAGCTGTAAGTCAAATTCACACTTACAGCAAAAACATGCTTTGTTGGATTTTGTTGGGTTCTAGTTTTAACAACTTTTCTACACACAATACCATAGAGCACTCACTATCAATAATAAAGTATACAATTCTTTAAAGAAATATTCTCACATTTTTACACAAATAACAATATGCAAAACCAATCAGAAGATGTTTTAGATATTTTGTGAACTTATCGTGATATATTCATTGTGTTTCAAAGTCATCTACCTGGATGAGGTTGGCGTTGATGTAATCTGATCCTTCCACACCTGTGTGTTGTAGAGTTACTCGTGAGTAGTCATCTGTCAATTAGAGTTAAGACAGAATTTTAATACCACATACTTTTAATAAACAACATTCCAAGAGGATCCTAGAGGTACACAAACACTCATTAATACATATATATAATTAACTTATATCATCTCAGACACCTCCTATTCTGAAATGTGCACAAAAGACAAAGAATGCTAATGAATATGTTATAACAGACCAGAAAAGACAACAAGTAGGAGGGGGAATAATTGTAAATACTCCTCCTTCCCAAAATGTAGTGGTGTGTCATTAGTATCATCATTGTAAGTCAAGAACTCAGGATATTTTAAAACATTTTCTTCAGGTTGATAATGTTATTCTAATAAAAACTGAGAACATTAGGGGCAAACCAAAATAATTAAACAAAGGGCAATAACTCTAATAAAGCATGATATTATCAATAATATCATGAGCTAGTATCCTGATGTTGAAAAAAAAGCTTAACATATAACATACATTATTTATCAGCTTCAAAGTTTCAAATAAATAAGAGAGATAATAGCTGAGGTAACAGTAAAGTTGTCTCAAAAGACACCAGAGGTAACAGAAGAGACAGTGGAGTTAACAGAATGTTGCTTCAAGAGAAAGCTAAAACAAACAAGAGAAATCATAGCTGGTGTAACAGGAAAGTTATCTCAAGAGATAATTGAGATAGCAGTAAAGTTATCTAAAGGGACAACTGAGGAAACTGTTGTCTCTGAAGACAGCTGAGGGAACAGTTATCATAGGAGACAGCTGAGGGAACAGTTATCACAGGAGACAGCTGAGGGAACAGTTATCACAGGAGACAGCTGAGGGAACAGTTATCCCAGACAACAGCTGAGGGAACAGTTATCTCAGACAACAGCTGAGGGAACAGTTATCTCAGACAACAGCTGAGGGAACAGTTATCTCAGACAACAGCTGAGGGAACAGTTATCACAGGAGACAGCTGAGGGAACAGTTATCACAGGAGACAGCTGAAGGAACAGTTATCTCAGAGGACAGCTGAGGGAACAGTTATCTCAGACAACAGCTGAGGGAACAGTTATCTCAGATGACAGCTGAGGGAAGAGTTAAGTCAGGAGACAGTTGATGGAATGGTTATCTGAGGAGACAAATGAGGGAACAGTAAAGATATTTCACAAGACAGCATGAGATGACAATAGTGTCTGGTCAGAGAGCTGAGGTGGCAGCAAAGTTGTCTCATTACATAGCTGAGACAATGGTTAAGTTGTCTATGGATGTAGATGCAGTATCAATAAAGTTGTCTCATTAGACAGCTGAGGTAACAGTAAGATTGTCTTATGAGACAGCTGAGAAAACAACACTCAGGAGATTATTCAGAGGATGATTCACACTTACAGGCAATGATATCTTTATATCTATTTTTTTTCATGTTGTATGGCTCCCTTCCTGTGGTGGCAGGGAAAGTGTTATCTTCTTTGTTTTGAGCAGCCTTTTCACGTAGGTCCTAAAATGAATCATGAAATATGTATAACAGATATTTTGATATCTTTAGATGTTATAAGAATATCATCATCAAGCTTTCATTGTGAAACATCACTTTTTCTCTTATCATGGACTTGTAAGTTCTATATATATATAACCAGATGTTAGCTCATTAAATGTCTAATGTTATTGTTAATTTGATTCAAGGGTACTATACATTTTATCAGTATTTTAAAAACTAAGGAGTGGAAGAAATGGATGAGACATATTGAGCATGCATGATTATTACTTCCTTCCAAGTTACACTTATCGTTTGTATACTTACTTAGTATATACACATGCTTATGTCACTTGTACCATCTAGTTTATTTACTTAATAATTTATTGATCTGAAAGTCTGATGTCTGTCTGTCTGTCTGTCCGTCAATCTGTCTGTCTGTCCATCCATCTGTCGCTCTCTCTCTCTTCCTCCCCCTCTCTCCTTCCCTCACCTTCTCTCTCTCTGTCTCTCTATCCCTCTCTCTCTTTCTCTTTCTCTCCTGCTCTCTCTCTCTCTCTCTCTCTTTCTCTCTCTCTCTCCCCCCTTCTCTCTCTCTCTCTCTCTCTCCCCCCCTGCTCTCTCTCTCTATATGCGAGTTTATGTTGGTTTTTGGGTGTATATGTGAATACATGTTACATATAAATGAATGGGTGTGTAAGTATGTGTGTACTAAGGTTAAGGATGTTACAATGATGACAATAATACATATATAGAGATTGATGGTTGGTAATCTGTGTCAAGTCCCTGTGTTGGCGCCCATTCAAAGGTCGATCTTTTGCCTTCCTTTCTACAATTTTATGAAATTGAAAATTCCTTTCGAGATTTGGTAATAATCTTAAATAAACTTTAACTGTCAAATCAAAGATGCCCATCTGTCAACCATTTCATTTTAGTCCCAAAATGAAAAGGGCACAACCAGGGTGTAGGGGAAAACAACATCTAAAAATTTGAGAAAGCTTCATACAATGCATCTCAAGAAATGACAAAAAACACACTTTCATAGTCACAACTCCAGAAGGCAAACCGTCAGCCATTTTGTTTATCTGATCAGTCCCTATATCAGAGCAGGCCAGTGTTGTGATTTATGATATCATGTTATACCTGTGTGTGGTGATGTCAGGTTTCATGTTATACCTGTGTATGGTGATGTCAGGTATCATCTTACACCCGTGTGTGGTGATGTCAGGTTTCATGTTGTACCTGTGTGTGGTGATGTCAGGTTTCATGTTATACCTGTGTGTGGTGATGTCAGGTTGCATGTTACACCTGTGTGTGGTGATGTCAGGTTTCATGTTATACCTGTGTGTGGTGATGTCAGGTTGCATGTTACACCTGTGTGTGGTGATGTCAGGTTTCATGTTATACCTGTGTGTGGTAATGTCAGGTATTATGTTACACCTGTGTGTGTTAATGTCAGGTTTCATGTTATACCTGTGTGTGGTGATGTCAGGTTGCATGTTACACCTGTGTGTGGTGATGTCAGGTTTCATGTTATACCTGTGTGTGGTAATGTCAGGTATTATGTTACACCTGTGTGTGGTGATGTCAGGTTTCATGTTATACCTGTGTGTTGTGATGCCAGGTTTCATGTTATACCTGTGTGTTGTGATGCCAGGTTTCATGTGATACCTGTGTGTGGTGATGTCAGGTTTCATGTTATACCTGTGTGTGGTGATGTCAGGTTTCATGTTATACCTGTGTGTGATATCTGTGTATGATGATATCATGTATTATGTTCTGATTGAAGACATATCTTTTATACTGATGTGCTCTGATAAAACAGTATAACACAATCATTTTCACACTTTTGCATTGATAAGTGTATTGTATTTGTGCCAAACAGTGTTCAATTTTATACCTTGGCATTTTTCCTTGCTATGTTAGATCTTTTCAAGTACACTATATCCAGAGTTAAAAACATGGTATGGACTTGTTTTACACTTCAACATGAAACTTGGTATTCTGTTACATGTAACTTGGTATTCTGTTACATGGTATTCTGTTACATGTAACTTGATATTCTGTTACATGGTATTCTGTTACATGTAACTTGATATTCTGTTACATGTAACTTGGTATTCTGTTACATGTAACTTGATATTCTGTTACATGTAACTTGATATTCTGTTACATGTAACTTGGTATTCTGTTACATGTAACTTGATATTCTGTTACATGTAACTTGGTATTCTGTTACATGTAACTTGGTATTCTGTTACATGTAACTTGATATTCTGTTACATGTAACTTGATATTCTGTTACATGTAACTTGGTATTCTGTTACATGTTACTTGGTATTCTGTTACATGTAACTTGGTATTCTGTTACATGTAACTTGGTATTCTGTTACATGTAACTTGGTATTCTGTTACATGGTATTCTGTTACATGTAACTTGATATTCTGTTACATGGTATTCTGTTACATGTAACTTGGTATTCTGTTACATGGTATTCTGTTACATGTAACTTGGTATTCTGTTACATGATATTCTGTTACATGTAACTTGGTATTCTGTTACATGTAACTTGGTATTCTGTTACATGTAACTTGATATTCTGTTACATGGTATTCTGTTACATGTAACTTGATATTCTGTTACATTTAACTTGGTATTGTAACGTGTCTGGGACCGGCTCAACTATGGTAGCAATTGACCGGTCCGTGTCCCAGCACGCCACAGCGTTTACCACCCAGTAAGAGTGGTTAGTAGGTTCGAATGGCAGGCCAGCCAAAGGAAAACTAGGAGTCGCTGGTCACAGTTGATGGTTTATTTATAACAAAATCCCCAGTACAACATCCCCAGCCGGTGGTAACAGGTCAGGCTATGGAAGGGTTTGGCGTGTGTAAAGACCTAATGGTTCTACTGAGTATTCGGTTCTCCTTGTCCCTGACAGGCTGGCTCTGGCATGTTGTTAGTAGGCATATGCTGGTACCAATGTAACAGTAGGGCTGGCCACCTATGTCGCTACAAGGTACTGCCAGCTATGTGATCGCTAACACAACGATATGCCCGGAGCAATATAACAACAAGTAGAGATAGCTTTTCAGCATTATTAAACTTCCATAGCATGGTACAAATAAACGACACAACCTAGGCTACAATAATTACACAACCTAGGCTACAATAATTACACTAAATAAATCACTGCATAACGCCGACTAATTATTAACTTATCACTAGTACCCTATACTACATAATAATTAAGAAACACCTAATTAAACAATAAAAAAAACGGAAACACCTAAGAGAGATAACTCTAACAGTACACCTAACACTGATACAACACCGGTAACAAAGCATACAGAAGCGCGGACCATCACAGTATTCTGTGATATGTAACTTGGTATTCTGTTACATGTAACTTGGTATTTTGTTACATGTAAATTGGTATTCTGTTACATGTAACTTGGTATACTGTGACATGTAACTTGGTATTCTGTTACATGTAACTTGGTATTCTGTTACATGTAACTTGGTAATGTAATACATGTAACTTGGTATTCTGTGACATGTAAATTGGTATTCTGTTACATGTAACTTGGTAATCTATTACATGTAACTTGGTATTCTGTTACGTGTAACTTGGTAATCTATTACATGTAACTTGGTAATCTAATACGTGTAACTTGGTAATCTATTACATGTAACTTGGTATTCTGTGACATGTAACTTGGTATTCTGTTACATGTAACTTGGTAATCTATTACATGTAACTTGGTATTCTGTTACGTGTAACTTGGTAATCTATTACATGTAACTTGGTATTCTGTTACGTGTAACTTGGTAATCTATTACATGTAACTTGGTAATCTAATACGTGTAACTTAGTAATCTATTACATGTAACTTGGTATTCTGTTACGTGTAACTTGGTATTTAAGGTGTTTGTTTATATGGAACGGGGGTTTCATGTCACCTGTTCATGTCTGATGCTATAAATAGAACAGGATGCTATGTTAGTAGACCTACAATCCTACTAAATAATTCTTATTATAAAACAAACTGTGGTGTCACATGTTTCCCGGATCGATAATAATGTGTGTTTACGTGTATGTTTTCGTTGTATTAGTGTATGGTCACACTGGTATTGTCCAGACCACTGACCGTTAACTGTGGTGTATACAAACACTGGCCTACTCTTACCTTGTCTTAATTCAACACTTCCACTTACCCTGTACTCCCGATGGAAGCCATTCCCCGCTGGGTCATCCTCGTCTGTGAGATCGTCCACATGTCTGATAAACTTTAATAAGTTTGTCTGCAGTTGTATCACTCTCTCCTCCATCGTGTAACACAAACCACAAAACCTCACGACATTACTTTCTATCAGGAAGTAATTTCTGATCACGTGACTTGTATCTTTTGTGTTCCTGTTTGTCGGTATAATGTAAATTTAGAATACCGTTAAAACACAGGTGTATCGAATGTCCGAACGTCATAGAATCGTGATTTTGTTCCGAGAGATAAAGTAACAATACTTAACATGTCTGATTTACGCTACAAGGACATTTATAATCACAACTCATCAGTGTTTACAGGTCAAAGGTTATTATGTACAGTTTTACATAAAATAATAATACACCTTCGATGAAGAACAAACAATGGATATAATTCGGCTGCCATTAAGTGAATTAAGTCTCTGTATGCATTAATATTTGTTAGTATTAAACACATACTACGCGAAATGTTACGAAATGTTACCAAATCAAAACGAAAGTAAAAGTACGATAATTATTTAAGAGAGGTCACTATTTATTTTTATGCCTCCTTTAGGATTCGAACATGTAATTGATATATAACTTCCGTGATAAATAATAGATATTTGATTTTTCAAATGAGATAAAACTAATAAAGTGTATATCTTATTTACTGATCTACTTAAAAAATGATGTACATGTATAATTTAATAAATAGTTTATCTTATCAAATTTTCTTTATGAAATACGTTATTTACTGATACATTTAACTCATTTACTAAATTAGGAAAATGACTAATATATTACATAAAGTTTTTTTTTAATTTTCTAAATTAGATATCTTATTTGATATATTAAATGTCTTACGTAATTTGGTAAAAAGATTTTTGACCAAGATTTTTTCATAATTCTAGATTTCTATCTAAAATACAATAATGAATGTAGTCCGCGATCTGTTTTTCGGTACACAGACGACTGTGAAATTTATTTATTTATCTATTTATTTATTTATTTATTTATTTCACGGGTTTTACTTCCTCTCTTACAGCATTTCGGCCTGCCAGCGGACAAGAAAAGACAGGAAAACTAGTAGAGAGGAAACAGTATGAAAAGATGGGAGAGAATGGGATTCAGAGATGTGGTAAAGGGGCTCATAGCTAACACCAACTAGGCACGTTACAACAAGAGGACGGTTTAGGACAGAGATGAAGAGACAGGGGATTCTATACCATACCAATTTTTACGTGTTTATCATAATTTTGGAAGTCCGTCAAAAGTACTTAATGAGAAATCCCTATTGCTAATCCACCGCTGACTATTGGGCCGACGTTGTCACTGCTGCAGTTGTATACAATAAAATCACATAAAGATCTTTATCGTGCGAGTTAGACATTTTCACAAGGGCTACCATTTTAAGTCCCATCCGCCCGACTGGGTGTTAGTGGTTAATTCTTAACAAGATATACTCGTGATGATGTTTTTTGTGTCCATATTTAAGTCTTCTTTTCATTTCTCTCTACCACTCTGTAATCTGTTCACTGTAACAATGTACTTTCTGTAACTGCATACCGTTTTTTTTTGTATCACGTAACTGTTCACATTTCCACATTGTATATTTGTGATTGTGAGGTAAGTATTGCACATTTATGTCATTGTGATTTCGAGGTAGTAGGGGTTACCGAGTGATTAATGAAAATATACATGTTAGGGGGTTGTCTATAGACCGACCTTGATGAGGAGTGCTTTAGGATAATTTTAATATTGAGTAGTAAGGGGCAGGGGTGATAGTAAAGGAAGAAAGGTGGAGTAGAAGCGGGGGACCGACAGGTAATAGGTGGGGGATATAGATGGGATAGGGGTTATATTTTCGGGGTTGGGAGGGGGCCTTGCCATTCCTAGATCCTATAATGTCTATAAGTCGTAATTCTTATCTGAAGTGTGGGGGAGGGGGCTGTTGTTATTTAACAGGTCTTCACTTAACATGGTAAATAAGTACACCTGGCGAGGCGACGTAGCTGTAAAATACACACAAAACCACGTTTCGTATGAGTGATGTGCTAAGTTCTATCGTATAAATCTTCTTTTTCTGAATGTGTGGTAGCGGCCGCGAAAGCGTGTCTCGCGGGACACCTTAGATAGCGTAGTCTTAGAATATGCATATTTTGAGTGCGGAACGCAGTCACGTGGTGCGTGACATCAAAGTGTTACTTCCGCTATGTGAGCTTACTAACTTCTATATATTTTTAGTTTTCGTCAAGTACTGGATTAACATTGTTGAGTGGGTAAATAACAGAATGACTTGCTATAGACATTATAGCCTTACATTCTTGAAACCAATCAAACTATAGCGACTAGAATCCTTTGGTATGTCAGAAAATCCGCATAAAAATAACTCAACTCCATCAAAGGAACCTGTTAAGACGTTTAAATTGTGCTTCTGTCTCGGATTTTGACTCACTTGCAAAAATAACGGCTTTTAGTAGAGACTATTTCAGAATTACTCCAGGGAATTTTTCATATAGATACCACTGATGAAAATTTCATAAAAAAAACTTCAAACGTATAACTGTTGCTTCGTCGCTGGTGCCATATCAACATTTTGTCGGCATCCCAGTAGCACCATCGAAACTTTCATGATGGCGGATTGTACAATTATCGATGTGAAACCATGACAAGGCAGTCTGTTGGCATCCTATTTATCAACATTCATGGCACCAGTGCAACTGTAGAAGTACCAAGATGGTGGTCATATTGGATTTCGGACAAACCTGAAAAATAGCATGTGCAAGACTCTCGGGATCTGTCCATGCCGTTTTGATCTAAATCCTTCAAGTGGAAATTGAAAAGAATTTCGAGATGTATCTTAATATTTTTCCCAAGTTCCATCGATGGAATTTAGCTCAAACTTTCTGGTCAAAAAATACAGTACTTGGCCAGGAGAGTCTCACGATCCTTGCCAGAAAGTTTCACCTAAATTCAATCATTGGAGCTTGAGAAGAATATTAACAGGTGTGATGTTCAACTGGAAAGCTATCATTGTACAATCAAGTTTAAAAAAAAACCCTCTTTGTCAACTGCCTTTCCTTAACACTTGTCTCCAGCCCAATAATATCTGTGAAACAAGGTAAATGTTGTTATTATTTTTCACAGTTGATGGTGGCCATGTTGAGTTTCAAACTGATCTAAAAATAGCAATGCTTGATCAGGACCACTTTAAGGTCATTCCATACAAGTTTGAACTACATGAATATTCACACAAGTTTCAGCTCATCAGCACCATTTAAACAGGAGACGAAGCTAATTTGTGATTTCAAGATGGCAGTCATGAACTGACCAAAAAAATAAACATACCAGGCTACCTCCCACTGTCGGAAACTTGACAACATTGAAATATGGAAAGTTTACGCACTGCGGACGATGATGGATGAAACATGAAGGCTAAAGGTCATATTAAGTGCTAGAGGTTTCAAAGTTTCGCTCTTGCTATCATCTGAAATGTCACCCATTGGAGGCGTCCAAGAGGGAATTAATTTGCCCATGTTCGGATGGGACGGCACTTGGGAAGGGAAGGGAAGACAAAATGACAATAAAACGACCAAAATATTTATTCTCTCATAGACTGCCCGAGAAAAGTCATATATAATTATTTTTACTTTCATCAATTTAGTAGATGTTAAAAAGAATCATTTTATATTGCAGAACATAATGTGCATGCGTGGATGTTCGCACACTGAAACAACATTATCAATTCTTTGAGAAAAAATACCTGATCCTGCATTGCTCATCTGCTTTGCTGTTCATAAAGAGACATTAAAGTGCATTGTTTACAGAATTAACTTTGGTAATAATTGAGTTCAACTTACTCCTTCCTAACAATGTGATATGTGTGAAATAATGGCGCTCATGGCCTCTTAGTAATTAAACAGAGACTGTTTAACACATTGATCCCATTGACCATTAAAAGTGATGAAGGTCATTCAATTGAACATATTCGAAGCCTCTTCATCCAAGCATGTTACAGACCAAGTATCCCGAGCCTTCTAGGCCTCATTGTTATTGAGAATTCGTCTGAAAGATTTGACACCTGCGTCCTTGAAAGTTGGTCTATGTCACATCCATTGAACTGACGTCGTAACCTTTCGCCTCTGACCCCGAAATTCCTTGTTATGGAGAAGAGGTCAATTAAACAATTAAAACGTTTAACACATTTTGCCATGCACTTTGGGTATGAAGACAATAGAGTAGGTAAATAACTACAATTAAGTAAGTAAATAAAGAGAAATCGGGAACACTGAAATATATTTAGAGTACTGCCCAAAATTTAGACATACATACTTTCCCTATTACCCGTACTCAAGTAAGTAGTGTCATTACTATAAAAGGGTCAAGTAGTGGTCACAATGACGTATTTTCATTATGCAAATCTGTTAGCAACATCAACCAAAAAGCCGATTAATTTATCACAATAACGAGGATACCGTCAACACGTATGCAATATTAAATTAATATAACACAATGAACAAACGGTAAAAATGCATTATAACGATGTATAAATACAACAACACAATATGTATAATGTGATAAAACCATTGGTATACATTTGTACTTTACAATAGGATCACACAGTCACAACATATTTATATTCGATCAGAAATTGTATGTATAACAATCCAAGGGAAATAGCAATCAAAGGGCGATAACTGTGCATGATTCAACGATAATAGACAGAGTTGTCTTTCTTCTGTTGATAACTGACGGTTACCAGCACCTTGAAGAGTGTACGAACGATTACGTTCCGATATTTAGAATTCCCAAACTTTAGTTACGAAAATAATACTTTATACTGCTTAAAAAATTAATTTTGCATATTGTAACAAAATCGCTTCCATTTCACTGACCAGGAGTCAATTATTCTATACCAAGAGTTACAACAACATAATATACCATATTATTGAAACGACATTAATTTATCTTGACCCAAGGAGGGATTTACCCATTTTCTGAATATTATTGGTTTTCTTTATTACCAATGTACTCCTTATTTCAATAATTAGTAGCTATTTCCGGTATTTGTATCCCTCATCTCCTA